CCCGGGGACAAGGCCAAGTTCCCCATCACACAGATGACAGAGCTACATGCAGGGACATATCGCTGTTACTATCTCAGCCCCCAGGGCAGGTCAGAGCCCAGTGACTCCCTGGAGCTGGTGGTGACAGGTGAGAGGACACTCAGGGGTCCCAGCCTCAGGCTCTGCCCTCAGGAAGGGGGTCTGCTCTCAGGGTGTCCCCCTCCCACAGCCCAGGCCTGGGGGACGTGAGGGAGGTGTGACCCCATCTAACTCGCTGCCCCCTCCTCTCCTAGGAGCCTACAGCAAACTCAGGTTCAGGCAGAGAGGAGGGTCCTCAGAGAGAGGCCTGGGGACTGTCAGGTCAGAGCAAGGGGGGCAGGCGGCCCTCACCCTCCCTCCCTCTCTCCAGGGCACCTGCCTGACAGACCCGCCCTCTCGGTGCAGCCAGGCCCCAGGGTGGCCTCAGGAGACAACGTGACCCTGCTGTGTCGGTCACAGAGCCCGAGGGACACTTTCCTTCTGTCCAAGGAGGGGCAGCCGATCCCCCCCGCGCCTTAGGTCAAAGCACGGAGCTCAGCCGTCCCAGGCAGAGTTCCCCATGAGTCCTGTGACCTCGGCCCACGGGGGGACCTACAGGTGCTACAGCTCAGTCAGCACCAACCCCCACCTGCTGTCCCCGCCCAGTGAGCCCCTGGAGCTCCTGGTCTCAGGTGAGGGGCCCTGACCCCGTCTTTCTGAGCTGTCAGCTCCTGGTCCTGTCCTCAGAAGAATTATGGGCTGAAAGGGGAGTGAGGGGCTCTAGGGATGGTCACCAGGGCACATCTACCCCTCCCCTAAGCTGGGTACAGAAGGTGGCAGGTGGGCAGTGGGAGGGTCTCCGGGGGCCAAGCACAGAAATAGGAGGAGTGAGAGTGGGGTGGGGACTCCAGACTCAGCCCCAGGCTCTCACCCCTTCAGTCCTCCTTCCCCGGACCCTCTGGGACCCCCGCCCCACCCACAGGGTCCATCTCCACAGCTGATGAGCCACCGGGTCCTCTCTGCTCAGAGGGGCACAGAGCACCCCAGGGCCGTTCTGAGTCCCTCAGAGGATCTAATGCCCCCCAGACACTTAAGGACAAGCTTGTGTCCCAGGGGGGCTGGGAGTCNGGAGCTGGCAGTTGGGCACAGATTCCATGGGAACTGGGGGGCTCCAGGGCCTCTGTGGACTCCCCCCTCCCCATGAAGTCAGGTCTGCAGGACCGTGAGGCAGGTGACAGGTGGGCGGTCATGGCAGAGGGAGAGGTTGGGGCCCAGGCTGGGGGAGAAGAAGGGGGGCTCAAGTGGGGAGATGCAGCCCCACCCCTCACCCCCATCCTGACCCCAGGAGGCTCTGAGGATCGGCCCCTCCCACCCACAGAGTCAGACAAGCAGAGGGGTAAGTGAGGGTCTCTGTGGGGAGGTGGTGGCTGCGTCCATGGGGGACAGGGGCTGAGTCGTGTGGGGGTCCAGGCACCTCTGGAGTCGCTGACTTGGACACGCCCCTCCCCATCTGGGCCTCAGTGTCCCCAAGTGGAAAGGACAGAATCGTGGCCCAGATTCAGGTTTCCTGTCAGTTCAGGCCCTGACCCCCTGGAAGAGGGGGCCTCGCAGGGAACCCCCAGGACGTGATGTTAGGGGGACAGTCCCCTCTGTGGCAGAGACTGTGACACTGTACAGGGAGGAACAGGCAGGACAAGGGTCCGGGGCATCCAGGGCCTTCCCTCAGCTCAGGCTCAGCTCAGAGGAGGCCTTGGGGGGGTGGGGGGTGAGACCTGGTCCAGTTCTGGGCTCTGCTGCTCCTGCTGAGGGGCCAGGGGGGCCCTTCTCCTCTCTGAGGGTGGGGTTCGTGCCTGGTCGTCCCTGGTCTCATCTGCCCACAGGCTACTGTGAGATGAGGTGACATAAGGGGCCTCACAGAGCTCCGGAGGCAGAGCCCCCAGCCCAGGGCCCTGCAGGGTGGAGACAGATCCCAGGAGGGACACGGAGTCCACCCCACACCCCTGCCCCATCCCTGCTGGGTGACCTGGGCCAGGTGACTAACCTCTCTGAGCCTCAGTGAAGGGGGGGTGGGGCCAGCACTCCCTGGTGCACCAGGGCTGTGAGGTTAGAGATGAAGGAAGACCCAGCATGTGCCTCGCACACAGTAGGTGCTCATTAAATGGCATCACTGGCTCATTCATGATGTTTTGAGGGAAAGAGGGGCTCCTGACATTTCAGGTCTGATTCCTTTTCAGAAGACCTCCCCAAACCCTCCATCCAGGCCGACCCAGGCCCCATCGTCACCAAGGGGAGCCCTGTGACCATCTGGTGCCAGGGGTCTCCGCAGCCTGCTGTCTACGCTCTGTATAAAGAGAGGGGCACTGAGCCCTGGCTGACCAGCACCCCACAGGACCCCAGAAACAAGACCGGCTTCCTCATTGAACGCACGCACTCATACCATGCAGGGATTTACCAGTGTGCCTATTGCAGCACAGGGACCATGTGGTCGGAGAGGAGTGACCCCCTGACCCTGGTGGTGACAGGTAAGGGAGAGCCCGGGCCCCTCCCCACTCGGCTCCCACAGGCACAGGGAAGGGAGGGTGGCCTCAGGGGGACCTCACCCCACAGGCCACAGCTGGGGCATGTGGGGTGACCGCCCCCCTTTAACACGGAGCCTTGTCCTCCCCCAGGAGTGTACGGTGCACCCTCCTTCTCAGCCCGCCCGAGCCCTGTGGTGGCCTCAGGGGGGAACGTGTCCCTCTCCTGCAGCTCACAGTCCACATCGGGCACTTTCCACCTGCTGAAGGAGGGAGGAGCTGACCCGCCCAGACACATGGAATCGGAACCGAGGGTCTCTGCCGGGGGGTGGTGGGCTCTCTTCGCTGTGGGCCCCGTGAGCGCCTCCCACGGGGGGACCTACAGGTGCTATGGTTCCTCCAGGTCTTACCCCTACGTGTGGTCAGAGCCCAGTGACCCTCTGCACATCGAGGTCACAGGTGAGGGACAGGCCCCTGGGCAACCCCATCTGTTTCCTGGGCCCAAAATCACTCACCTGAGCTGTGTGCCCAGTGGAGCCCTGAGGTCACGGGGGTCAGTGACACTGGGCTCTTGGGGACAGAACCACAGGCGGGAGGTTTAGGGAGTGACCGGGGAGAACTCTCACTGCAGCCACAGTGGGCCACGCGGGGGTGTCCCCTGAGTGCCACCGTCCCCTTCTCCCCAGGAGTGCACAGGGAGCCCTCCCTCTTGGCCCAGCCAGGCTCCCTGGTGCTGCCTGGAGACAGCCTGACCCTCCAGTGTCGCTCGGACGGCGGCTTTGACAGATTTGCTCTGACCAAGGTGCAGAGGCTCACCGCCCCCCAGCGTCTTGATGGGCAGCACAGCCCCAGCTTCCCTCTGGGCCCTGTGACCCGAGAACACGGGGGCCAGTACAGATGCTACAGTGGACACAACCTCTCCCACGTGTGGTCGGCCCCCAGCGCCCCCCTGGACATCCTGGTCGCAGGTGAGGAGCCCAGCCCTGCCCCTGTCCTGACTGTGTGCCCAGGGCTCTGGGCCCAGGGTCCCCTTGGTGATGGGGTCCAGGAGAGGGTCCTGGGGCAGAGGCTCAGATGGGCAGAGGCCTAGGGGGAGGGAGGGAGAAAGGGGGAGGGAGGGGCATGGAGATAAAAGACACCCCCCCAGGGGCTGAGAGGCCTGAGAGGGGGTCACAGACAGCCTCAGGACAGGGTCCCTCAGCTCAGGGTCAGGGGCATGAGGGAGGGGGTCACTCTCTACACATCACAACCTTCCTCCCCCCAGGACTGTACCCGAAACCCTCCCTCTCAGCCCAGCCAGGACCCTCAGTGCCCTGGGGAGCTGATGTGACCCTGCAGTGTGCATCTGAGACCCGGTTCGATACCTTCCACCTGCACAGGGAGGGGTCACTGGACCCTCCCCAGCACCTTCGTCTGCAGGGCAGGTTTGCACGCTCTCAGGCCAACTTCACCATCAGTGCTGTGACCTCAGGCCATGGGGGGACCTACAGGTGCTATGGTTCACACAGCACCTCCCCCTACCTGCTGTCACACCCCAGTGACCCCCTGGAGCTCAGGGTCTCAGGTGAGGAGCCCCAGCCCTGCCCTTTGTGTCCTCATGGTCAGTTCAGAACCTGTCCCCAGGGGCCCTTTGGGCTGAAATGGGAGTGAAGAGGCCACAGGTGGGGCAGCCAGAGGGGACTCACCTGCCAGAGGGATGGAAAAAGCCAGAGCATCTCCCATCCCCGCCTCACGTCATCCTCGGCCCCGAGGCCCAGACTTGTCCCTGGTGGGCAGAGGGAGGCTGGAGAGGCCTCGGGCTGACCAAAAGGGGGAAAGGCCAGAGGGAGCCCATCCCGAGNCCAAAACGGGGAAAGGCCAGAGGGAGCCCATCCCGAGCCCTCCAGGCTCCAGCCCTGTGGCCTCAGCCAGAGAGACCAAGATACTCTTATCTTGGTGACTAGCAGAGGCCGTGGTCCCGAGAGAAAGAATCTCCCCACTCAGGCTCCGCTTGTCTCCCAGGGAGACTGGGGTCCAGGCAGCGATACTGGGGGACCGCGGGGCTCCAGGGCTCTGAGGTTTGCAGGTGACAGGTGTCGTGGTCATGGAGAGGCAGATGCTGTGCTCCAAAGCTGGGGAGCAGTACCCTCACAAAAGTGGGGAGAAGGCAGCTCAGGGCCCTGTCCTGAGGAAAGCCAGGGACAGTAATACACGAGGGGTGGGGAAGTTTCCACAGAGGAGGGTCCAGCCCATGAGAGAGCAGAAAGAGACAGGACCAGCAGGCCGCCGTGGCTCAGGGGTCGGCCATCAGACCTACGATGCAGGAGGTTGAGGTCGGATTCCGGGTCAGGGCACAGGCCGGGTTTCGGGCTCCATCCCAGCAGGGGGCCTGCAGGCGGCAGCTGGTCAAGGACTCTCATCACTGGTGTTTCTCTCCCTCCCTCTCCCTTCCTCTTTCTGAAGTCAGTAAAAACACATTTTTTTATAAACAAAGAAAGAAAGAAAGAGACAGGGCGTCCGCCTCCTGAACCCCCTTTTCTGAATCTCAGCAGAGCTGAACAGGAGGGAGGGCGGAGGGAGACGTGTGTGCAGTGAGCAGGATCCCGATTAGACCGAGCAGAGAGGACAGCCCCCCACCCTCACCTCCTGCCGTCTTCATCTCAGAATCTGAGCCCCGGGGGTGCCAGCCCCCTGGCCACTGTCCTGCAGAGGGAAGCATGGCCCCTGGGCACCGCTCTGCTCGGCCCCTGCGCTCCCCTGAGGCCCCCAGGACTCAGTGCTCCCCTGGGGCCCCCAGGACTCAGTGCTCCCCTGGGGCCCCCAGGACTCAGGGCTCCCCTGAGCCCGGGCGTGCAGGGCCCACGGGAGCCGGTGTTTCTCCGCACACGTGCCTATTACTGCTCTTTCTAGGGAGCCTTCGGGCAATTCCTCAAACATAAACCAAGAACTCAGTTTCCACCCTGTGGAGTCAGGGGCAAATGTAAATGTCCTCTTCCTCTGTCCCCGGGCGCAGAGCAAGTCCTTACCTTTGTTCTAGAGAATAACCTGTTTCTGGTAAGTCTTCTTCTCACGCACATTTTCGGTGAGGTTTGTTCATGACCTTGAGGAGCATTTTGACAGCTACCGGGAGAGCTGAGCAAACTTACAGCCTCCTCTAGGAATTGCGCGTCCAGTGTCGCCATTTGTGAGTAAGCTCCGGGGCCCCGTGGCGTTTTCTAAACAGCCGTAAGTGGCCCAAGTCAGCTCCTGGCCTGGGCACGGTCGCCTCATGACCCGTTAGCTCCCTGGGGATTCTCTCCCTCTGGGCTGTCTGTCTGTCGACCCCTCCGGAGGCTGATGAAGCACCGTACCCACCAGTCAAGGGGAATTTCACTTCTTTATGCCAAATTGTACACAACTTTTCTCACTCCAAATTCAATACGACAAAGTGCCAGAGGGAAACGTCCCAGAGCTTCACCTCCGGGAAACGGCGTAATTCACACCCCAAGTCGCGTCAGGGCCGACCCGCCGGGGAATCCCCGTCTCATGTCAAGGGCACCAGTGGCCGCGCCGTCCCAGTGCGCTGCCGGGGTCGTTGGGCTGTGGCGGGGACGCTGTCTCCGTCTGACGACACGTCTCCCCGCAGTTATCTCTGTCCTACTGTGTCGGCGCCTGACACCGTTCCAAAGGCTTCTTGGTTTCAACCACTGGATATTGACCCCACTGAAAAACGACCATCGTCCACGGGCACCTTCTGAATTCAGTGGCTGAGACTTAGAATTTCCTTGCGTGGGCCTCTGGGTTGAGGCTCGGTCGGTAACTTTGGTTGACATCTTGGTTTTTATATCAAAGTGGGGGCAACGGATGGACGTGATTTCCTACTTTGTGCGCTCACTAAATATTATAATTTGGGGGACTTTCTCCGTTTCTTAAAGTTTGAACCAGGACTGTGGACTTCCTTGGTCAGGGCCTTTGATAAACGGGTGTGTGGAGGTTGTCTTTTGGGATAAAAGGTACATGATTAGCCAGCCACCCATGAACTCTTACCAGGCTTTCTAGAGTTTGTCCAAAAGGAGAGAGAAGATGATGGCGTCACCAGCTTCTGAGCACCTGAGCTCACCTGCCTCCATTTACCAAGGTGCCAAGTCTGAGCTCCCCATTGTCCTCTGCACCCCCCTAGAGCCCACAGACAAGACTTTATTCCTAATTGAAGACCAGACTTCACCTTTCAGGGACCTGTCTCCTTATCACCTATTGATGTCAAGTCCCTCTCTCCACACACACGCACACGCACACACACGCACACACACACAGGCACACACACGCACACACACACGCACACAATGTATATATTGATACAGGAAAAATATATGTAGATATACACGATGACATATAACTTTAGTGTTTAAGTAAGAGTAGATATACGTGTAACTATATATACAAGCATATTTTATATAATATTTTATAATATGCTATATAAATGTGTATATATAAATTATATGTGCAAAATATATATACATATCTGTATAGTTACACATATACAGGGTGGGGCAAAAGTAGGCTTATAGTTCTTCATATGGAAAATAATACAGTCATTCATAAAAAATAATACAAGAATAAACTCTTTCCTGTAAACTCACTACTATGTTACTACTAAATTGATGTATCTACAAGTCTATCTAAAATTATTCATTCCTATGCCCCTATTTTTCATCTGGTAAATATATCTACCACTATGGGCATTTGTTATTATACAATCAATGTGCTAATAAAAGAATACGTAGATGAACAATTCTGGGTGCGAGGAAGGACCCGGCTGGGGTGAGGCGAAGGAGACCCAGCCCCCAACTTTCACCCCCTTGTGCTCCAGACATTCAGGAGCCACTGACACCAACCCCTACTCCATGGACCCTGGGTCCCCAGCTTTGAAAATGTGGGATCGCTCAGCTGTAGGAAAAAAGTTATGGGGTCTTGAGTCTCAGACTGAACAGAACACACAGCTCTTAACTATTCCTGAATGGAGATCATTTTCTCAGTCATCCTGAGCTCTTGGGCACAGCGAACTCTTACCNCCTCAGCTGTAGGGGGAAAAGGTTATGGGGTCTTGAGTCTCAGGCTGAACAGAACACACAGCTCTTAACTATTCCTGAATGGAGATCATTTTCTCAGTCATCCTGAGCTCTTGGGCACAGCGAACTCTTACCAAGGTGACTCAGAGCAGGCTATGAACTCAGACGTCACAGGGGCGCTGATGTCACGGGGAGGCGGGAGCCCAGGGTAGATACGAGAATCCTGGGGTGATCTGGGTCTGCCCTGACCTCTGTGACCTCTTTGTCCACAATTCCCAGCCCCCCGCACCCAAGACTACACCGTGGGGAACCTCATCCGGTTGTGCGTGGCTGGACTGGTCCTGGTGGTGCTCGGGGTGCTGCTGTTCGAGGCTCGAAACAGCCCGGGAAGGACCCACGAAGCGTCCAGGAGGTGAACACAGAGGGAGCAGAGCACTGTTCAGAGCGAAGGAGCCTTGGAGCACATCTGATGACCCCAGGAGGTGCTGAAAGAAAATACNCGGGAAGGACCCACGAAGCGTCCAGGAGGTGAACACAGAGGGAGCAGAGCGCCATTCAGAGCGAGGGAGCCTTGGAGCACATCTGATGACCCCAGGAGGTGCTGAAAGAAAATACGGACCCTCGTTGGGGAAACTGTCTGCCGAGAATGTCTGGGGAGTAGACGAGGTGGAGGAGGTTCGGGTGCAGGAGAACCTGGGCCATGTTCCTGCTGAGGAGCCCCCGCCCCCCAACTGTGGCGCTCGCCCTCCCTGTCCTCGCTGACTGTCCTTGAGGGCCCTTCTGGTCTCACCCTAGGCCACGAGGGTCCATCCCACATGGCTGGTTTGGATTCACATCCATACAGAAGAAATGTGGCATCTNTGGCGCTCGCCCTCCCTGTCCTCACTGACTGTCCTTGACGGCCCTTCTGGTCTCACCATCCCACATGGCTGGTTTGGATTCACATCCATACAGAAGAAATGTGGCATCTCCACAACACTGGCATTTTTTAAAAGCCATAAAGAACAAAATCCTTAAAAAACCCCCAAAGTCCTGATAACTGGTACCCATGGGTGTGAGACCAGCCCATTGCACGTCTCCATTCCTCCTACCAGACTCCAGGTGGCTTCTTTTTATATCCTTACATGTAGGATGTCTGCTCAGCTAGATTTCAGGCAGTTCTGACTAATGGTGGTCCTGTAGCTGTGGTCATGGGAGGATTCAAGTACTTCATTCACTTCCTCTGCCATCTTGGCCAGAAGTCTTAATGTTAGATAATAAATAAATAATATGGAACTTTTGGCCACTATTTTATTTAAGTAATACTTGAGTTTCATTTTAAGTAGTTCCTTTTAAATTTTCCAGGCCAGTTTTGAACTGACTGAGACTTCTTTGTATCATATAATCTCATCACCTGGTTTGTCAGTTATCCATATGAATTTCCAATTTGGATAGTTAGACCCATTGTTGATATTGGTATTTATATTCATAATTTTTTAAAAATGTTTTTATTGATTTTAGAGAGAGAGGAAGAGAGAAAGATAGAGAGATAGAACATTGATGAGAGAGAAACACTCATCAGCTGCCTCTTGCATGGCCCCCACTGGGGATCAAGCCTGCAACCCAGTCATGTGTCCTGATGGGCAATAGAACTGGTGATCTCTCGGTTCACGGGTCGATGCTCAAACCTTGAGCCACACCAGCTGGGCTTGAACCATTTTTGACTCAGCCTCTCCTCTAGCTAAGAAAGGTCATTACACATTAGCTGAACTCCTTGTACCTAATTTCAAAAGCTCTGTGTGTGTGTGTGTCTTTCTCTCGCACACACACTCAAAATTGTTTTAACCTTCCTTAAATAGCAATGTATATGTGAATATAAGTACAAATATACTTTTCCAACGTTTGTTTTCTTTGCGATTGCTTTTCTCACTTTTGCATCTCACTGTCTCTACTTTTTGTCTGTTGTACTGTTGGTTTAATTACTATTTTAGTTTGCTTTTAGTGAGTGTGTAAACAATAAAATATACGAGAACTCGTATGTCTGCAAATGTCTTCTTTTCATTACGATACTTGAAAACATATTCTTATTTCAAATAGAGGATATAATTCAAATACAAGGAGGGAGAAATTCTCTGATGGTTAAGGGTCTGCCTCCCAAACCCTCCTCATCCCTCCTGAAGACTGACCCTGATGTGGTGAATTTCACATGTGAGATGTGAGTTTATGCAGGTCAGATATGCCCTGTATTCTCAGACTAATGGATTCTCCGCTCTCACATTGGGCTCTTTAAAAAAATTTGGGTAAGTATAGAAGTCTTCATTCACAATTAAGCATTTGAATGTACTTTCCCCGTAACTTTTGCCATTACTTTTCTGTTTGAAAGTGAGCTCCCGTCAATTTCCCCCATTTGCTATGAATATCACGACACACCTTTCATTTATATGTTCGTACACCCTGCCACTGTATGTTCTCTCTGCTTCTCTGTAAAATACCCAGCCGTTGGCCTCTAGGACTGTAGCCCACATCATGCTCACTGCTTCCCTCCTGAATCTCTCAGCCTCAGGGGCCCTTCTCTTCCTATTCCCCATGTATCTTAATTTTCTAATTCCAGTCTCTCTTTATTGTGTCCTACAAAATTTCCTCAATGTTAACCTCCAATTTCATAATTGTATCTTCAGCTGTATCTTCCCCTTCATGGAAAGTATATTTTGAGTGTTCTGAATCATTTTTTTTTTTTACTTCTAAGATATTTGCACAATTCATTACTAAAACTTTATGCTCTTCTGTAATATAACCCTGTTGTTGTCCAAGAATTCATTTTTCTCCATTATTTTGTCAGATAGTTAAACATTCTTAAATTCAAATGAGTTTCATGTATTCCTAGTGTTTTGTTTCTTTGGACATGATAACCCTCAGTAATGACTCTGTAGACAGTCTTTCATATCACTAGCTGTCATTACTAATTAGAAGTCTCTGATAACAGAGACTTTTAATTAGTTTTTAGGTGCATTTTTCTTTAGCTTCACAAATAGGCATTCAATGCATTAACTTAGTCAGGAACTGATGTTAAAAAAAATTAAGGTCACACTTGACAGCCTACTTCACAGTTATTTCAAATTCAGCTTGTCTAATAGGTCTGTTTTATAGGAAATAGGCTTTTAACACAGGGATAGCTTTGATAACTTTAAATTCAAATATTTTTAAATACATTTCCCACATGAGGCGTTAATGTTTTTAGCACAAGATTGAGTCTGAAGCTGTAATGGGTCCATCTAAAGTGGAATTAACTTATGCAAACTAACTATTCCCCCTTCTCTATAAAAACAAATTAAATGGAATTTCGATAATATGGAAACAAAAAACATGACTTTGAAATCCCAGTATGCACAACCATAAAAGAAATAGAAGGTTTTTGTCCTGGCTGGTGTGGCTAAGCAGTTAGAGAGCAGGCCCACACACCGAAGGGTTGCGGGTTCGATTTCCCATCAAGGTCACGTACCTGGGTTGCAGGTTCATCCCCGGCCCCACTTGGTGCCCGTGTGGGAGGCAACCAGTCGATGTGTCTCTCTCACATTAATGTTTCTCTCTCTCTCTCTCTGTGTCCCCTCTCCCTCCCTTCCACTCTCTAAAAAAATTTTTAACTTCTAAAATCCATTTACTGTGCTTAAACGATAAAACACTGCATCCTGTTTGGCCTTGTCTTCAGGTTTCCAGCCCAGGGAGCTCAGGTGCAGAGGTCCCACTGACCACAAGGGACTACTGGGGTCATGAGATCCTGGTGGAACAACAGCCAGCTTCAGGCTCCTCAGCGAAACTTGCAATGCACTCTGGGCACGTGCACAGGACGCAAAGCAATGAGGAATCCTGTTTGCTCAGGGTACCTTTGGCTTCTGCGTCAGCGAAATCCCAAATGATACCGAGCAGGAGGTCAGGAAGCCCTGATTTTTTCAGGAAAGCAGCAGCATCAGAAGCCAGAACCCTCTGGAATTGCCCGTATCAGCCTGTTTCTGTGCTTTTCACACGAAGGATTCCCAGTTGACGCCTGTGTCAGGGAGAGCTGGGCGGCCCAGCCACGGCGTTCCCATCGTTCTCGGGGGGCAGGGAAGCCCAGGCAGGCGGGGCGCCGCCAGGACAAAGCGAGCGCGTCCCTCCTCTCGCCCCCCCAGGATTTCTCTTCCATGTCTGCTCCTGTTGGNGCTTCCCTCCTCTCGCCCCCCCAGGATTTCTCTTCCATGTCTGCTCCTGTTGGAAGCTCACCTCCCGCACGGCTGACTCTCCACAGGGAGCTCCTCCCAGGGCTGCCCTGATGCTCAGGACTGGAAGAGGTGGAGGGTTTTGTGTGTGTTTATTGATTTCAGAGAGAGGCAGGGAGAGGGAGAGAGAGAGATAGAAACATCAATGATGAGAGTCATTGATCCAGTGCCTCCTGCACGCCCCCTGCTGGGAATTGAACCAGCTACCCGGGCATGTGCCCTGTCGGGGATCCCCCCTCCACCTCCTGCATCAAAGGTCGAGGCTCAACCGCTGAGCCACGCCAGCCAGACAAGAGGTGGAGAGTTGACTCTGCCCTGCCCCATGGTGTCCAACCTCCGAAATTTAGCACCTGACTGTGATGTGCCCGCAGGGACCACACCAAAGGGGACCCTCACACTCACAGCTGGACAGACGCCCATGCGCGACTAGGCTGGACTGAATCTTTCACACAGACACACACAGGGGATGTGGCTCAGTGCTGACCACGGGCTAAGTCAGTGGGTAGAGACACCCCCGTGCCCATGCCCAAAGCATGCCGAGGGGGCAATCCTGCTTCCAACTCTCACCTCTGGACTTCCAGTCCAATCCCCTCCCTGCCTGTGGCAACCCTGGGCCCCTCTCCTGTCCACACGACGGGAAAACTCCGCTCTGTTGACATCTTGCAAGAGCCAGGCCCAGTGGCTCCCCAGCTCTGGCCTGTTTTATCTCTCTGCTTCCCTCTCCATTTGGGGAACTCTCACTTCCCTTTCCGTGCACTGAGCACGGCCACGTCTCTCAGAAATGCTGTGCAGAGCCCTGCTCAGGATTGGGCGCAGAGGGGGGCTCCTAAGTGGGTCCAACAATCATCCAATATTCTGTGGAATTTTGTACAACACCTCGCACGTGTAGCCTCGCGCACCTTAATCGGTCTGGAAATAAATGAGGATGGCTCCCTCCACGCCCCAGTGGCACAGCCCCACAGCCACTGGAAGGACGTGGGCTCTTGACAACCTGCTGCAGACGCGGAAACTGAGGCTCCGAGACGGCACGTCACTGCTCAAGGTCACACGAGAAATGGACAACGGAGGAATATTTATTTTTTAACTATTTCTTGAATATGTTTTCATTGCTTTTAGAGAGCGGAAGGGAGAGGGAGAGAAAATAAAGCATCAATGATGAGAGTCGTGGATGGGCCGCCTCCTGC